TTTTTTTCTGATTTGCAAAAAAAATAAAAATTCAGAATCAACTGCAAAATGCTCATATTTTGCCCTGAACAGTTGAAAACAGTCCTTTTCTTCCTACATGTAGTCGTTACAGTTATTCCATCTTGCAATGCAGTGGTATCATTAGAAGTTAAAAATCCATTGTTTAAATTTTGAACCAGCCTTTTGTGTTGACTTCATACCTCGTATCGTAGCATTTGGGGCTATAATAGGATGCCTAGATCTGTTTTTATTTTTATTTTTTTTCGCCCTGTCACTTCATATTTTTCCTGAAAAAATCAGAGAACCAACAAATTAAATTGGTGTGGCCTTAATATACATTCAACATCATTACGTTTGCCAAGATTAGTAGGTTATTTTTTGGGGGTGTTTGAACTGGATGGGTAGGTCTTGATGAGACCGGCACCTCAAAATGATTAGATTTTGGCCCCCTGATGGCTTATTAAGGTACTGCAACTTGGAACTCCTGGTTTTGATATCTCATGATCTGGACATGCCATGGTCACAAAGTTTGCAAGGTAGATAGCTCTCGTGCTCAGCTACCAAGCAGGAAGATCTGACATTAATTTTGACCCCCTTGGAGTTTGATCTGGACTGCAGGGGCATTTGTTGAATTATGTTTCATGGAAGATAACTCAGGAACTGGTTAAGGGATCATCATGAATGATGACGAAGATACACCGATTTAGTTTCAGATGAATTTTTGGCTGGTTGGCACCTTGGAGTAAACCTGTGAAAAAGTGGGACTGAGACTGACTTGGTGGTGTAAACACAGAGAGGCGAACCAGTTTAGCGTCCGTGTTCATAAGATTCTACGAAACCATTTTGTTCAACAGACAGTGGAGCTTCAGAATAAAACGGAACTAAACTGTTTCTGTGCGTTCAAAGATTTTGTCGCCGTGACGGGTTTACTGTGCAAGGGGGGTTGTGATTGGTGCAGAGGGCAGTGTCCGCAGGCAAGTTATTCCATTCCCGGATGGTACTTGGGAAAAGGGATTTTTCTCTGTAAAGAGTTCTGCACTTAGGCAGCTGGTATGCCGCAGAGTGGGTGAGGTGCGTAGGTTTTGTTTCTTCATACAAGCTTACTCCAAGTGCACTTGGTTTGTGAGCTGGCCACTCGGCTTTAGCGCAGGTTCGAATCCCAGGAGGCCGTTCAACTCGCCAGTTTGTGTTTCAGGGACATGACGACCGAAGAGCCTTGGAGTTTAGCCTGTATGTACTGGCCCTGGTAACAGTCTGGTACCCAGGCTATCAAAAATGGCAGGTGGGAGGGGCACTTGGGGTAGAGTTGGACACCATACCTTCAACACATAATTCGCAAGTTTCTTTACACAACACAATAGCCATGTACGGCGTCATGCGCGATCAAAACCTAGATCTGACGAAAAACTTTTTGTACAAAACAAAATTTTCCGTACAACCATATAACAGTTATATATACGCACCCTGTATTTAACCCCCCTTGACCAAAATTTTAGCTACGTTCCAACATGCACCCCATACAACTTAGAATTGTCTCCTTAGAACTGATCAAAACAGCCCACCTCTTCACTTTTGACGACTTCCTTGAACTCTCTTTTTATTCTGGCAACTGCGATGTTCGCCATGCCCGGAAAATTCGTAAGAAATTCGCCAGAAAAACGTAACTTCCCCTCACTGACCCCAAATGTTCAAGATGGCGAAATTCATGCAAGCGCATGCGTTAGAACAGTCTACTAGTACTTAGAGGAGGTACATTTTTTGTATATCTTAAAACTGCCAATATCAGCTATATTTAGCATGTTTTATCGAAGAAAATAAATTTCAGTTCAGAAAAAATTACTTCATTAATGCAAAATATTGATATTCAATATTTCAATTGATAAACCGAACAGAAATTAAAGCTAAACCCCCCTGCGTTTCGAGTGGATGTTGGCAGTTCATAGTCTTTGTTAAATATCATCTGATTGGTTCAACTAAAAGTTTCCCTAAAATATCAGCCAATCACCGTTGCTTTCTGAGGACACACCCGGGCATGCGTGCTGAATCCCCAGTTTTTGCGCCAAACTGCAGCGAGGGTGTATTTTCCTGTGAGCTTGTGTTCTTTTTCTCTCCCAAATTTAGCCAAATTTTAAAAGAATTATGCCAAATATTAAGCTCTTCACCGGAAGTTCTCATCCCGACCTTGCCCAGAAGGTCGCGGACAGGCTTGGCATTGAGATGGGCAAGTGTACGACGAAGAAATTCAGCAACCAGGAGACGTGGTGAGTAAGAGATGTTGCGCAGTTTTGGCGCCACCACATGGCATGACCTAATCTACCCTCCAAGCAGAGGTTTAGGTTTAGCTTATTTTTACGCGTTTTAAGGAGTATTTATCGGACTTTCTTTCTGTACTGGATTTTTTGGAGACTGGCGCTAAAAAAATTCCAGTACAAAAAAGCACGGGCGATAAAAAATGCCTAAAACATGCCAAAAATAAGATTAAGAAGAAGCCTAACCTCTGCTTGGAGAGTAGACCAAAATTATCTCACGTTTATACTATAGAGCACGAGTTCCTTAGATATCTCGGTCTTACACGTTACAGATAAGATGCCAAATCTTCCAGTTAGCCCACAGGCACAGTTGTAGGGTCATCGTTTGACGTACAAACTTGGAATTGTCGTCATGCTAAATTATAATTTTACTGCGCAGTGCACAGAAGGCGGGAAAGTCGGTCTCTTGTGGGAGATTCTTTTGTGTGCCAACAAAAACAGCCCACAAAAACATCAGCACAAATCATAATTAAGCTACGTGGGAGTTTGGATAATTTTTGAGTCACTTACTAAAGTGCCAGTGCAACTGCAAGTATATTTTTTCCCTCTTCATGTATGTAAATCTGTTATAATAATTGAAACATAATGAGTTTTTCATGAATAAATAAAGTAATTGTCCACAGAAGACCATAAAACTGATAGGAGTGATTTGTTTGTGCCTTTTAACCCGGAAATGCTCTATTTGACCATTAGAGCCACTTTTCATACAGGTTGGAAAATAAACAAAATTTATGGATGACTTGAAATAATATCATTGCTTGCCATGACATTAGGGCCAGGTGGTGGCGTTATTTTAAACCCAGTTCATGGACCAATCCAATGTAGGTTAGAGTCTTTTACAATTTCGTACCCGACTTCTGATAGAATTTCGGGTATCGCCTGTTGCCTCTTCAAATGTGGTAGAAGGTTCATGCTGTAGTGAAATGTAAATGTTGACCTTTATTGAATGAGAGTGCCTGGAAAAAAATTTCCTGTGTTGATGGAAGTATCAACTTGAAGCATTCATATATAAACTAACACATGGGTAAGAGTAGGGATCCCGAGAGAGAGAAGCAAGCCTCACAGATTAAGAGACATCAGTTGAGTGACTGAATAAACCAACAGAAAGGCAGTTTGGTGCATTGCGTTAGGTAGAAAAATGATCTGAGAGCAGATACAGGGCTCGAAATAGCCATGTGCAATGTGCAAAATACACATGATTTTCAAGATTTGCACTTAAAGATATTTTGAATGTGCTTCAGTTAGGGACATCCCTCGGATAGGACGTTAAGTCCCGTGTTTGGGAGAGCCACACCTCATGCATGATAAAGAACCCACCACACTTATCGAATAGAGTAGGGGTCCTTCCCAGTGTGAGTGGTTCAAACCTTACAGTACAGCTTGTACCTACATGTACAAAACTGGTGTGTTATGCCTAAAAAGGCGGTTTACCACTTTTGCTAAACAAACCAACATCTATTTATGCACCTGGTTGTGGTTTCAGTGTGGAGATCGGTGAAAGTGTACGCGGGGAGGATGTGTACATCGTACAGAGCGGCTGTGGAGAAATAAACGACAACCTGATGGAGCTTCTCATCATGATCAACGCCTGCAAGATCGCGTCTGCCCAGCGCGTGACGGCCGTCATCCCGTGTTTCCCGTACGCCAGGCAGGACAAGAAGGACAAGGTACTCACGTTCAGGTCCGAAATTGAAGTCCGGAGGTTTAGGTTGTAAGTCTGGACCTAAACCCAGGGCATATACAAAATAGGGAAGGGATAGTGTTGTTTCAACTTAGTATGTAGATAAGTGAATAGAATAATCTGAATTTTAAGCCCTAAAACTGTACTGGGCACCTTTAAAGACACCCAATGAGATTTCAGGGTAGTTAAACTCTGTCCCTGATGTAAGATAGAACTATGATCTCAAAAAGAACTATGATAATTTTCCCGTACAATGAACCTTTAAGTACTGTACATAGCACTTGTCTTCTCTGTCATGACCAGTGGAAGATCAGCTGTTGGTTGAGCTTTAGTTTTCCCTTTTTTTTATTTTCCCCCTTTTCACTTTTACTGTCTATTCTTCTGGTAGAGCCGAGCGCCCATCTCAGCTAAGCTGGTGGCTAACATGCTGTCTGTGGCCGGAGCTGACCACATCATCACTATGGACCTCCACGCCTCACAGATACAGGTAAGACTTCACTGCATGTTAGGCCTAGGAAAAACATTCATCATGAAAAGGCTGGGTAGCCCATTCAGCTTGTAGAAGCTGCTTCCAGCGCGTTAACGGGGCCCAGGATACATTTACACTGGACAAGACATGATTACATTTGTACATTTAGTCAAGCAACAAAAGGTGGACAACACTGAAATAAAATCTGACACATAAAAAGAAAGGCTCAATTTATACACAGGTCCACAACATCTCACTTTGGCTTTTTTCTCCAAAAAGATTTTAGCTTCATCTTTTAGGAGCATAGCTATATATATAGGAGCACAAGTACAGACATTTAAAAACTGGGCAACTTTCTTATACCAGGTGACGTTTACTATGATATTGAAAGTAACAACTAATGGTTATGGAGGTTACAGTCATGACCGAAACATTTTGTTCAGCAAGGCTGGCTACACATGACAGCAAACACTCCTTTCTTCTTCAATAATAAAATCATTGTTGTAATACCTTTGCTTAGAAATGAATTAGTTATTGCTGACATTCTAGTTATTGTGACACGTATGGTGCACCCAAAAATTTTTGTGTGCACCCAATTTTTTTTTATTTTGGGTGCATCAGTGCAGCTATTCCCAAAAATGAATTTAGAGCCCTGTGTTTGTTTTTTTCCTGTATCAGGGGTTCTTTGACATCCCGGTAGATAACCTGTATGCTGAGCCTGCTGTGCTGAAGTGGATCCAGGAACACATCCCGGAGTGGAGGAACAGTATCATTGTCTCACCCGACGCCGGCGGGGCCAAACGGTTGGTTTGATTGTTGTTTTTGTTTGTTAGGCCACACCAATTTAATTTACTGGTTCTTGGATTGGCCTCTTCATTTTTTTCTAATTTACAAAAAAAAAGAAAAGCTTCTGGTTTTGAATCAACTCAAAAAAGCTCATATTTTGCCCTCAACAGTTGAGGGAAGTCCTTTTCTTCCTAGTTGTTACAGTTTTTCCATCTATCAATACAGTGGTTTGATTAAAAGTTCAAAATTCATTGTCTTACTATTAACCCGGCCTTTTGTGTTGACTTCATGGCTCCTATCGTACCATTTGGGGCTGTATTTTTTAATTTTTTTTCGCCCTGTCGCCCTTAATTGAGTTGTAGTTATCTAAGACAGTGTATTTATCTAAAACAGAGTAACGTCCATCGCTGACCGGCTGAACGTGGAGTTTGCCCTCATCCACAAGGAGCGGAAAAAGGCGAACGAGGTTGCGTCCATGGTGCTGGTGGGAGACGTGAAGGACCGCGTGGCTATCCTGGTGGACGACATGGCCGACACGTGTGGAACGGTCTGTCACGCTGCCGAGAAGTACGTATTTGTTACGTTTACCTCAGGTGGTTAAGACCAATAAGGGGAATGTGACATGTGACTAGTTCCAGACGTTTTTTTTTTTACTAATGAACCTAAACATTTTTACGAGTACAGAAGTAGTTCCAGTGAACCGGTACACAGCAATAACTACCTAATCAATGTTCACAGTACTGAACAGGCTATCGCAAGGCATTGTGTTCTCTGACTCCACAAATTAAGACTCCATTGTTGTACACCTGTTGCAGACTGCTGTCGGCCGGTGCCCTGAAGGTCTACTCCATCCTGACCCACGGTATCTTCTCCGGGCCGGCGATCTCGCGGATAAACAACGCTGCGTTCGAGGCCGTGGTGGTCACAAACACCATCCCACAGGAGGAGAAGATGAAGGCGTGTTCAAAGATCGCGGTGAGTTACAGATTAATACTTATGATTGTGCCTAGGAAAAATAATGTTGTGTTTCCTGTTGGTCCTAAAAAATTATCTTTTTCTCCTTGTTTTTTTTTTACCTTGGTGATCTCTCTCTATATATATATGTACCTAGTGATCCAACTTATATAAACAATGTAAAACTTGCATGAGGATGCTTTAATTTTCAAAATCAATGTTGGAAAACTAATTGTACAACATTTCTTTTCTCAGTGTCAGATCATTTAACAAAAGGTTGATCAGATCAAAACATGTCCCTTACTGGAATTCACCCCAAAAAAAAGGCTAGGATCGGTTGGGAAACAGGAAACACAACATTTTTTTCCTTAGGCCTTGGCTTTCAATAAGGCCACACTGGCTTAATTGCCTTCGTCAGAAGGGTATGTTTTCAGTCTGGGCTTGGTGGGGCAGCTGTGGTGTGGGCCTGTATGTATGTCAACATCATACTACAAGTAGTTGTGGATGGATCTTTTTTATATGTCGGTAGCTGTTGACAGTTGTGGAAATGAAGGTCAAGTTCAGACTTTCCTCAACTGTTGGGGGCAAAATATGAGCATATTTGAGTTGATTTAGAACCAGATTTTTTTTTTTGCAAATCAGAAAAAAATGAAGAGGCGAATCCGAGAACCAACAAATTAAATTGGCGTAGCCTTAACAGTATTCTGTGTTCTATGATTGGCAGGTGATTGACATTTCTATGATCCTGGCGGAGGCCATCCGGCGTACACACAACGGGGAGTCTGTCTCATATCTCTTCAGCCACGTCCCACTATAACACTGGACATGGCTTCTCAACGGTAGAGGCAGCAACAAGCAGACAACTTTGTGCTTTATATACCTGTAAATTAAATGCTTTGCACTAGTTGGTGAATTTTAACTTTCTTATTGCTGAATTAGCCTTTTATCACCAAATTTGTATTGGTATTGGGTTAGGCAGCAGGGAGAAGGTTAAGTTTCTTCAGTCAGTTGTGATGATAATGATGTGATAGTTCTAACATGATAGCCAGTTGACAGTATAAAAATTAGAAAAATAATATTTAGTTGGATTGTGTGATGTTTGGAGTTTTTTTTTCTTACTTGTGTTGTATCTATTGAATAATGATACATTATGCGCCATCTTACAATAGGTACAATTAGAACAAGCTGAAACTGCATATTGTGTTTATGTAGATTCTAGGGGTTTAGAAAAAAGAAAATATAGATCAGGCTTAGGTGAAATTTGTTTGACTTAAAGTTCTTGTATATTTCCTTCCATATAAGCATTGTATTCATGTGATACTATATGTATTTGTTTTAAGAATTTTACTATCATTTACTCAAACTGAAGCCTCCAGAGGAATTAGTGACAGTGTGTGTACACTGCACTAGCTGCCTGCATACATGTACACTCGTTCAGATCAATTGTTTGGGAAAATGGGACTGTTTCAATTGAGGAACAGTTATACTGAATCTCAGTGGGTGTGCACTCATGGGGTGCCTTTGTTCACAACATGCATGTTATCCTCGAGATGAAATAATAAAGGTTTCATTTTAAACAATCTTTCAGCTGTATGTGTAATATTTCTTATTTCTTTACATGTAATAGAGCAGGGTATTTTTGTCTCTTTTAAATGTAGTTTAACACACAAAAAGTAAGATGCATTTTGCAATTTAAACTCCCAGGAATTGGCCCCCATTTGTACTTGACAAAGGCCGTAGGCCACACCAATTTAATTTGTTGGTTTTCGGATTCACCGCTTCAGTTTTTTCTGTAATAGCCCAAAAATAACAAAAATATGTCAAGCTCTAAATATCAACTCCGAAAAGCTCATATTTTGGCCCCAACACTGCTCTTCAGAGGTGTTACAGTTTTTCCATCTATCAATGCAGTGGTTTGATTAAAAGTTTGAAGTTCGATGTGAATTACAAACCAGCCTGGTAGGTTGACGTCATGGCTCCTATCATACATGTAGCTTTTGGGGTATCATAGGATAAGGCTGTCTTTTTTTTCTTTTTCAAAAAAGTTCTGAGAATAAACAAATCAAATTGGTGTGGCCTTATTTCTGGTCTCCCACTGTCTTGAGCACAAACTTTAATTAAGCTTTTTGTATCATCAGTCCAGGCTACAGGGATGTTAAAGGCATCCAATGCAATTTTAGCTTCGTAAACCCAAAATAATTTTGGAATAAGAAATTATTGATGTTTACTGCCATTTCTTACATAATTTTCCTCATAATTCGTATAGCCCCAAAACAAGCCATATAGGCTTGAGTAGTCTATTTTGGAGGTACCACCTGCTAGAACCAGTCTACCATACAAAACAAGCAACCATTCTTCATCAGCTACCTCACGTTTTTTCTTCATATATATCAGTATGCTTTGACACAGGCTTGATTCCAGTTATTGAATAACCAGATAATTGGCTTCAAATGTAAAATCCTGTTTTGCTACCCAAAAAATTGCATTTGATGCCTTTAGTTTAAGACTGAGAACTCTTGTTATTTAAATGATAATAATAAATGTCAGATTCTCAGAACAATTCAAAGCCTCACCAAAAAGAATCACAATACACATTTATTCATAATACATATATTGGGAATATTTATTTATTCATATTTATTTATTTCTGTATTCTTTAACCAGGGTAGCACTATGATGGCTTACATGTACATTGTACTCCTAGTTTTTTTTCTTTTCTTATATTTACCCTCTGCTAAATATAGAATTCATTATATTATCCAATAAACACATGAATAAACATATTCTCATTTTCTTTGACTTATATTTATGAGAGAAACTGCTTGAAATGCCGAATCAAACATTTAAAACTACATGTACCTGACTGAGGGCTGGCTACAGTATGTACAGTACTACAACTGATAAAAAGTAACAAAACATTGACTACAGTCGTGGATACAAACCAAAATTATGGAATTTTGATGATCTTTCCATGACTTATGTTCACAGAATTATTATCAGAATTTAGTTTCGCTGATACAAAATATATAAAATGTTCAGCACTTTACCTTACCTTGTTTTAATTTTTCACAATATCTAAAGTCTTTCAAGTACATGTGTGATGTTACACTATTCTCTTGGGCTCTCTTAGGGGTTTGTCCAACACCTTAACCTGATGATGAACGCAGTGCTACATGTAGTAGTGGCCTGTACACATATAAGGGATCCTCTTTGTCCATTTTTAACCGCTGTGCTATGATAAGTGTTGTCTTGTGTTTCCTGTTGCCATCCGTAAAGGTTTGCCACCCCTGTATAACAGAGAAAAAGAACATAAACAAATTTTATTGCACTGCAATTGTCATGTTCTGTTACATACATTTGTAACATGAGGGTCTGCATGGTACAATGTCAATGGTAAATTCAGTAGCGTAGAGTAAAAAAAACATGAAAATAAATGCTGTATGCATGTCTAGTAGGAAGAGATCAGTCTTAAGAAAGATGAAGATGTTCCTCCTCACCTGTTCCTTTTCTCTACAAGGTCCTTTACTCGATAATCTGGAGGCTAGCCTGGCAATTTCCTGTACTCAGCATACGAGAAATAAAAATAGCTTCATTGCACAACATCTTGCCACCTCTCATACATATAGAAACATCTTGCCACAATCATACAGATAATATGATCACATCAATTAAACCAAGGGAATGTGAATCAGCAACCAATATAAAGAGAATTGACTCTTTGATGATAGTATTTACATGTTTTGTGTAAAAGAATATTCTATTATAACATAAAAACTTATCTGTATCTATTGGCAATATTAAGAAAGTTAAAACGGTTCAATTCATCATGAGAAATCTGTGACTCACCATTGTTGTTTTTCCTTTTACTTCACCTTGTCTCTGGTTTAAAGACTCCAATTTGTAGGAGTGCTATCCTAGATGGACAAAGTAGAGAAGTGTTAGCCCAGAAAATAGTTCTGAAATGGGTTTCACTCGGAGGGGTCAGGGAGGCAGGCACTGGTCAGAAGAGAGTGGAAAGCAGTGTTTGACCACACTGTCGAAAGATTGTAGCGGTGACGATAATGGTGACGATAATATATTACATAATCCACATGGACAGGGATGGAAGTTTCATAATAATCATGATGATTCATAATGGCAAGTTAGAGAAAAATCGACAGAAAGGTCTAACAAATGATAAGATGATTTTTTAAGTTTATAATGACCTTCTTTAGTCCCCCGGTAACACTCTGTCAGCTGACTTCCGTTGGTGGAAGGGGTTCACTGTAGAGGAAGTGGTGCACAGTTGACGGGTGGGGTGCACTGTTGATTAATGGGGGACGGTGCACTGTTGACGGATGGGGTGCACTGTTGACGGATGGGGTGCACTGTTGATTGGCGGGTTGAACTGTCAACTGATGGAGTGCACTGTTTTCTGATGGGGTATACTTTTTTGGCAGATGGGGTGCACTGTTGGCGGATGTGGTGCACTGTTGGCGGATGGGGTGCACTGTTGATTAATGGGGTGCACTGTTGATGGATGGGGTGCACAGTTGGCGGATGGGGTGCACTGTTGACAGCTGAGGTGCACTGTTGTCAGATGGGGTACACACTTTGGCAGATGGGGTGCACTGTTGGCGGATGGGACATACTGTTGACATATGGGGTGCACAGTTGACGGATAGGGTGCACTGTTGACAGCTGAGGTGCACTGTTGTCAGATGAGGTACATTTTTTGCAGATAGGGCACACTGTTGGCAGATGGGGTGCACTGAAGGCGGAGGGGTTGCACTGTTGGGGGAGTGGGGAGGCACTGCCAATGTCTCTCAGTCGGCTGGTGAACACTGGTCTCATCCTCACCTTATCTGGCTTCAGGCGGAGTATTGCGGCCAGTTTTTTTTTTTTGGTGTGTGTGTGTTCACAGAAGTAACTCACGATGCTGTAACATTTATGCATTGGTATGTAGTTTGGCATGTCGCCTGTGTGAGACGGTGCATGTTTTTTCCACAGGTAATGTACTATTAGAAACGACACCCCCATCTTGTTTGTCTTTCTGTCTGTTATGAACGAAAAATGTTGTTGTCAACCTTGCGTGTGAGGCTCGTTTTCAGTCGTTGTTGAATTATCACCCATTTCTCTTGGACAATAGCTTTCCTGTTGTCTGTGGTAGTTATTGTTTTGAGAGATTGTTAGGTTTGACACTTTCACCACCAGGTTGAGTTTGTATTACACCAACAAGCTTTTGAAGCTCCTTGCACAACGCAGATGTCACTTTCCTCGGTCCATTAGATCCATCAATTTTACTCTGGTATAGCCTGTACTTCTACATTACAGTTACTTATTCAAAAACATCATCCTTCAATAGGTTAATACAAAAAGACCTTAAACATATCTGTCCAACTGTTCTTTTAGGCCATAGCCTTGACATCTCTCTATTTGTTTCATCTTCTTTTTATGCAGAATTTTTTCTAAAGTCCCACCCCTTTGATTGTCATCTAGCTTTGGAATTAGGAACTTGATCCCCAGTTCCTGAAGTCATACATCTTTACAAAATTGATTCCTTAATTTCAATTACACTACAAAAACAGAGTAGTCTCAGTTAGTAGAATATTCTTCAATCAGTGACTGTTTTTGTAAGTAAAAAAACACTTCAAATTTTCAATGTCTTGATGTACATCTTGATCACGGAGTGGCCTAGTCTCGCGAGAGTGCACGAGAGTAGGTCGAGACTTGTGTGGATCTTCTGGCCTCCCCGCCTCACTGATTAAAGGATATTCTACTAACTGTAATCTTACGTGACTGATTAACTTCTTCAATGAGAGTAGTCTCAATGGTAAATTGGCATGTGCGCTAAATTATATTATTACGTTAGATAAGTGAGTGAGTGTGCTAGATAAAACTATAAACGGGTACATAGGGCTGTCCCCATGCGTCACATTGTGCTATCGGAAAATTTCATCCTAACTGCTTTGATATCAGTCAGTGCATTTGAGCCGATGGCATTTGCAAAGACTCTTTCCAATTTGGCTGAGCTAACATTAGAAAATAATTAAACACATTATACATGTCTATTAGTAGAAAATTTCTATCAATGTGCACTCTTTTCCCAAAAAAAACTAAAATTAACAAAAAATGTATGTTTGAGTACTAAACGATATAAAAAAGAAAATACAAAAATATGAATAAATGTCTCGACTTTTCAAAACGTTCTAAGTACATAAAGCATTTTTCTTTTACTCACTTTGCTATTGTGTTTTAGTCTCGTTTTATATTTTTGAGTAGAAGGCGTCACATAAGCAACTGTGCTTCAGGCCTTACACTCAATGAATATATGTGAATAAACAAAAAATATATTTATGTCAAAACTTTGCTAGCGCTGGGTCCATAATCTGCAAAACAGGCAATTCAAACTAACATTGCATACAGTTGCGTCAATAGTTACCTACACCAAGAACTTATGTTTTCATGGGCGTTCGTCTGTGTGTAAACACGATAACTCGAGAAGGCGTTCAATGGATTGTTTTCATTTGACCTCGAAAAGATTAGATTTTGGGCGTGTGTATGTGTGTGTGTGTAGCTGTAACAATCTGTTTGCCAACATTGGAATGTAGTTTGGCATGTCGTCTGATCGTATGTGCGGGATGATGCATTGTTCTTTCGTCGTTTTTTTTTACACTGTAGCAGTTTTTAAAGGCTATAATCCCATCTTTTAGAAATGATTAATTTTAGCATTTTAATTTGGGATGTTAACTAACAGGTGCCAAAATATCCATTTTTCATATAGTAGTAATTGGTTTATCGATAAAGCACAAAACAAATCGGCCTAGAAGTAAAAACTGAATTGCGCCGAAGTTTACAATTAACATAAAAACAACTTCCCATAAGAATGAGCTCATCATATTGTATTAGTCTGTAAAAATAGTACCAAACCTGTCATCAACTAATTTTAAAGCCAAAGGGATTATAGAAAGTGACTTTTAGGAAAGTGGAGAACGGCGTCTTTATACTGTTACCATGATCTTCGTCTTTAATTGATTGACAAAATAGCTCAAAACCTACATACTGTGTGAAATCATATTGGGACAGGCATATTTTTTCTTAAAATATTAACCAATAAAGTAAAGTAGAATTTTTAAATCGTTGTACAAATGGTCTTGATTCAGTAGGAACGTCACATATAAAAGGAATGGAATACATGACTGCATCAAAGTAATAGACAGAACGTTAAATCTTGTCTTGTCTTCTCTCTTCATATTTATCTGCCATCCACGTTTCGGCATGGCAACAGGCATCGATATCTTTGCCCTTTTTCGGCATTTTGACTACTTCCAGGGGGCAAAAAAATTCTTATTTTTTTCCAAATTCAGGCGAAAATTAATGCGTGCACGTGCTGATGCCATCCTGAAAAAATTACTTGCTGTGGCCTTATACAGGTTACAAACGCTAACTTCGCGCACAAATTAAAGCACTCACCTACGAACACCAACAAACTGACATGACAGATACAAAGTTACAAGAAGAATGCATAAAATTTGCCGATGAAATTTTTACAATGCCGTTTACAGCTTGAACCACTAGCTGTCCTTTAAAAATCAAGGACACCAACATGTCCGTCAACAATTAAATGCTTCATCACTTCTGTATAAGTCTTGTTTTGGGTGGCTGTGGGTTTGTGGGAATAGGAAGATAGGCGTGGCCTAAATCTGGTCAGCTATCCTTTGTTGGTTGATGTAGGGGGAAGGATCCGAATGTGTGACAGGTAGTGTTAATGGGAGGGACGCACGCTGTGCGGTGTCACGGGTTCCCTCCCGAGGGATCTCCCATGGCCAGTAGGTGTTAGGTAGTGTGCCGAGGGGGAGGGGTGCACGCTGTGCTGTGTTATTGCTTCCCTCCCCTGGGATCTCCCATGGCCAGTAGGTGTTAGGTGGTGTGAGGGGCGCACGCTCTGCTGTGTTATTGCTTCCCTCCCCTGGGATCTCCCATGGCCAGTAGGTGTTAGGTGGTGTGACGGTGGGGAGGGACGCACACCGTGGTGTGTTAGGTATTCCCTCCCCTGGGATCTCCCATGGCCAGTAGGTATTAGGTAGTGTGCCAAGGGGGAGGGGCACAGGCTGTGCTGTGTTACGGGTTCCCTCATCTGTGATCTCCCATGGCCAGTAGGTGTTAGGTAGTGTGACGGTGGGGAGGGACGCACGCCGTGGTGTGTTAGGTATTCCCTCCCCTGGGATCTCCCATGGCCAGTAGGTGTTAGGTAGTGTGACGGTGGGGAGGGACAGACGTCGTGGTGTGCCATGGTGTCTCAGCCCTCTTGCTATCGGGTCTCTACCACCTCGCACGTCTTGAACTTCAGCACAATTGTACAAGGCTACAGGTCGGGCCTTGGTCTGCCTGGCCGCTCCATACGTGGGGATGTATCTGCTAGGCGTCGATAGGACGTTGTTCTGGTAGGTCTGACGATTCCTCCCCCTGTTTGTGACTGCGTGAACCTCTGAAGCAGCCCGGGTAAAGACAGACACGGGCCCGCTATCCCTGTCATCTGGGATCTCGCTATACGTATGACGACGGGCAGGCAGAGACTGGGGCCGGGGAGCAGCCACATCATCCTGGCTCTCCCAGCTCGCACGTGGGACGGCAGGCAGAGGCCGCCGGGCAACAGCTACAGCCTCTGGAATCTCGCTGTAGGTAGGCTCTATCGAATGGAGACCAGAAGGCAGTGACCTATGGACGATCGCACTACTAGTAACCTCTCCGTGAGTGGTTGATGTGGGAGGGACGGAGGCTGAGCGAACAAGACCGAAGGTAGCGGCGTCCGGAATCTCGCTGTACGTGTGTGGGAGGGCAGGCAGAGGCCGATGAGCAGCAGCTATAGCATCTGGGATCTCGCTGTAGGTAGGCTCGATCGTATGGAGAACTGCGGGTAGTGACAAGCGGGACAAATGCTCACCTCGCACCTTCTTAGTTGTACCAGCCGTGAGTGGCAGGGAAGCTGCCTTTGGCATACCACCGGGGACTACCCACACGTGCGCATTGTCGTCTGGCAGGTTGTTCAGTCGTCGTTTGTACAGCAAGAACCACGCCGTTAGCGCCAGTGACAAAAGCAACCCTACTGTGACACTGACCGGGAGGAGCCAATAGCATTCGAGTAGGAACAGTTGCCATGGAGATGGTGTAGAGTGGTCAGAGTTGGGAGGAGTGCTAAACGCGTGTGTCGACACCGATGGCCACGTCGTCTGGTTTCCTTGCTTGGAAGTCTGGCTTTGGGAGCTGACTGGGCATGTTTTCCGTGGCTTCATTCCAACCTTGGAGGAGCTGAAATACAGCTGCCGAGGGCCGAGCTTTGTGAGCAGGGTGCAGCTCACTTTCTGTGTGTCTGTTGAAAGTGCATCATCCTGTAGCTTCCATGTGTGTGTGGGAGGGTGTGTGTCAGCGTTCTGTGCAGTGTCAACCATCAAAGCAACACTAGCCAAGGCAGGGTCGCCAACACCAACGGAAACTATGTTCAGGTTTGAACCACCCTTTAGCTCCACTGCTAAGCCATCGCGTCCCCACATCTCTCGGCACTGCTCGGGACGGTTCTGGACATTCTCGTCTGAAACTCCGGCAACAACAACGAACGGCGGCTGTCTGATGATCTCCGTGTACTGAGAATCACCCCACACATGCACACTACAGGAGTCAGGAAAACCATTGTCCGTATGACGAGGGACGGCCGGGGACGCAGCAAACATCCACTTCAGGTACTGCTCGTTTTTGTCAGGGTCATGCGCCAGGCAGAGGAGGACATGGGGTACCTCGAAGGATATTCTCTGTCTCACAATATCACCACTGCGGAAGTCGTTCTTGCGGACTAGACTCCACATGACTCCACTTGATGTTCCACCATTCATCATCACCATCCTGTTACCGCTAATATAGAGCTGTCTCAGGTTGTCCAGGCCACAGACAGCTTCATTGTGGAGACAAGAGAGGGGGTTTTTCCCGAGGCTGAGTCCGTTGAGATCCTCTAGGTTTTGCAGAGCGTCTGCAGGGACCCTGTCGATGCGGTTAGAGCTGAGGTAAAGATCAGCCAGCTTGTGAGACCTCGGGAACCAGTCGGCTTCAACAGCATGCAGGAGGTTGTGGTCCAGATTCAGCAGGACAAGGCGGGGCAGGTCCGCAAAGCAGCTTGGCTCGATCGTATCGATCTGGTTATTGGACAAGCTCAGATGGGACAGTGTCTCCAGACCTTTGAACCAACTCCGCCTGACATGCTTGAGGTTGTTAGAGTTCAGAGCCAACTTGAGCAGACTTGTGAACCCACTCACCAGGGAGGACTCAGACATGTCAACGTCGGTGATGTTACCATCTATCAGACCCAGGACCGCCACCCTGGCCGCACAGAAGTGTGGGGGCTTCAGTTCTGACAACATATGGAGCGGACGGCCTCTCACAGCGAATCCCCGTGGAGTGTCATTCAAGCAAGCCATACCCAGAACCAGGGTGGGGGTTGTAGTACATGCCAGACAGGCCACTTGACCGGTGTTACCGGGTTGCATGATATTTATCTCGGTAATGTCACCCATACAGGCGGACCAGTCGGCTATCTGACATCCGGGGAAGCAGGGCTTGTCTGACGTCACAGCCGCAGACGCCAGAGCAAGCATCGCCATCAAAGGGAAACATTTCTCTCCGAAAACCGCCATTTTACTTCCAACCTCTTTAGAAAACTACATTCCTTTAGCAAAAGACAAAAGACTCACCTTTTCGGCAGTGACGGTGACCACAGCGAGCGTCGACTGGCGCTTGGGAGAAATCACGTGATACCTGGGGGAAATGATATTTTGTCATGAATATGGAATTTTCTCACCGCCAAGCTATTTATTTTATTCGCACTTAAGAATATATAAACAAGGAAATATAACAAATATTAAAGTGGGAGGCCGAACGCTTAATATGCTTATATGAAGGTTTCTCTTTACCAATATTACAAAAAGAATCTTTTATCCGTAAGTAACAAAGTTACAGACACTACTGAACCTGTAAGGAAACAAACACACAAACATCATAGAAGCTCATCTGTGTTGGCAGTAATCATAGTACGATGCTAAACTGTTGCCTTCATCAGGGCACTCCAGCCATTACTAAACAGAGCCGGTGGACGATATAAACTAGCTGGCACTTTTGATCAATTGTTGACGTCACGTATTGGTAAAATCTCGTGTAAACCCCCTGTCACACATTCAGAACCTTTCCCCGAACACGAGCCGACCAAGGTTGGCTGAAGTTCGAATTCGGGAAGAGTCTGGCCAGATATAGGCCACGCCTACCTTTCTATACGAGTCGAATCCAAGTTAAGTTAAAAAGCCAGCCACCAGCCAACCATGGCTGAACCCCCCGTCCACACCCGATCAATATTTGAAACATTTTAAAACAGGCCGCTGTCACAGTCGAACAGCAGCCGACCATGCTCCCTAACCATGGTTCGGGATATTCGGCAAGCCATATTCGGCAAAATGTGTGACAGGGACTCAAGGACGGACAAAAACCAAACTAGTCACTTTTGAATAGCCTCTACCAGGCTCCGGGAAGCGGCTGGAAAGAGTAGAAATCGGCCAGAAAGACAGATGACATACCAGCGAAGTTAGTCCGCTAGAGAGTACATTTTGCCGCTCGCAAGCCTGGTAGAGGCTAACTTTTGAAGCCAGATGAATTGAATTAACCCACTCATTTATAAAACGCATCCTCAACAAAATAGAAAAAAAAATCAACCATAGCCCATTGCAAATAAGTGCCATTCAGGAAGTAGAGGTGCCAAAATATGACGACAGACGTGTGTACGTGTTAAAAATCTGGAAACACTGTCAGTCATGTTTGTCTACATTCTGGTATTTTGTGGTGGCAAAGTGCACCACAAAATACGCACAATGATGAAGAGCATACCAGCCGCATTCGAATTCCGCGATCCGGGGAAAAATGTCATCGTTTCGTGCTCTCAGACTTGTTAAGGGAGTTATTTTTCTACTTCGTTCACGGCGGCTTACAACAGTGATTCCTGCTTTTAAAGGCGCACTGTGTAACATTTTCCCAACAAAAATCAAAACATTTTGATTAAAAAAATCTTCATGTGATTTTATTAATTTCCACTTTTTTAAAACATATTTGTAGAATTATCTCACATTTCTGACATTATGTTAGACGAGGCGCACTTGGGATGTGAACAAACATGTCTGTTAACACACTCGTAAGGCGTGACATTTTGGCACCTCCACTTCCTGACACTTAGATGCAATGCGGTTTGGTTGGTTTGTAAAGACAAATTGACTTTTTGTATCGCTTGGGGGTCGCGTGGCGTAGAGTCAGAGCGGAACCAAGAGGTCCCGAGTTCGAGTCCTGACATGCCACCGATCGTGTGCCCTTGGCAAAGGCACTTTACACGACTTTCCTCACTTCGCCCAAGTGAAAATGAGTATTGTATTGTCCCCTGTGTAAGTGGCGGCATTATAAGTTGAAAAAAAAAACTTGACATGTGCCGTCACCACGTCTTGTGACTGCATGTTAAAATATAACAAAAAATAATGATAATGGTACACCCTCACATGGGCGATTGGTTCAACCAAAACGTCAGTTCACAACTAAAAAGGAGTTTCTGTAGTCACCGTTTTATATTACCGGTTTAACCGTTTTACTAGTACTTATAGTTCTCTCTGGTTACAGAGAGGGGTTTTTAGTACACAACTCCAAAAACTCCTGATTATCTATTATCAAATCTGTATGACGTCTACGTTATACTGGCATTATACTTATGATTAAAACTAGGTTTCTATGATTTGTGTAATATTTCAGTCGTATCAATTTCTAGCATATAGGCTGTTTGGTCCGTTAATTTTTCTTCGTCATTGTGAACTGTTTTGTTAAAGCACCTACATGTACTAGTTTACGATATTTTTTGTTTCCGTTAATTCCTTTTTAATCATTATTATAGCATCTTATATTATTTATTATCTGAAGGCGTATCTGAAGTATAAGCTTCCCACCCTCTCCTGCACACTGTTTGATTTGCCATTATGTTATATCTGTATTCATTGTGCGAATAAAATAAATCAAAACGCTGAATTCAGGATAAGAAATAACCTACAACGTGGAACAAAGGCGAACAATTATAATAAGCACGTTGTCCCCGACACTCAGGCATGCAGATGGAACTAGGTAATAATAGTAAGGGTAAATGTAATAAGGTCGTGTGGCGTAGCGGCAGAGTACTCGACTCGGAACCAAGAGGTCCCGGGTTCGAGTCCTGACATACCACTGATCTTGTGCCCATGGGAAAGGCACTTTACACGACTTTCCTCACTTAACTCAGGTGAAAATGAGTATTGTCCTGTTCCGTATTTGTCCTCTTTCTTTCTGCGTTGGTGATACAACTAAAATAGGTTGATATAACTTGAGTGTGTCGTCACCATGTCTTGTCATGAAATGTTGGAAGAACGTACATTGACAACATGGATAAATAACATATCAACGGTATTCAGGTGCCATAAGGGGAGAACCTTTGTGGACAGACTGTCCTTGAGTGAGTGAATGAGTGAAAGGTATTCAATGCGCAATGTGCAAAATGGTTGCTTGTTTTGTATCGTAGACTGGTTCTACCTATTTATGGGTGGTACCAAAAAATAAAGAGACTTCTCACGTAGCCTGTAGGCAATAGGCTACTTAGGTATGCTTCAGGTATGTAAATCAAATCAAATCAACTTAATTGCTCAACAACTGTAACTCGTAAAATGTATGGCAAAGAAGAAACAACAAGGGTAAATGATGAAGAATTGTGCTAAGAAATATCAAATACGCCGGTGAAGGTTAGACATCCAGGTTATAAGATACGCCAGCAATAGTCACTCAAGAAACTGGATATGATTTTAGAAAGCGTATCTAGTCTAGGCGATCGGTGCAAAATATGGGTAGAATTGCTCAGTTTGTGATAAAAGCATGAGACTTGGCATGCTTGAGTTTTTGGCGTATCAATTTCAATATCAGATAGATTTCCTATTCAGGAACATGTTGCTTTGGCGCCCAATATTGGATGACATTAAGATATTCCCTTACTGTTTGTTGGGTAAATTTGACGGGAATATCGCCTGAATGGCGTTTTTCAATGGTTCCTGGGGGGGGGGGAGCAAACATAATCTATTAACAAAATGAACCCAAAATTAACGAAGGTATCAAATTAAGTTACGCAGATTACAAATTGATTACAAAATCAAAGTAACTTAAATAACATAGATGATACATAAGATAATACTACCAAAATAAGACAACCAATGTTGTAACCTTAACATCATATAACGTACAACCTACGTACAACCAACTTGAAGGTAGAAATGCACCAACCTTTAACTCCTCGACGTTCCCCGGCCGGATGATCGGGTCTCAGATCTCTGTTCAGGCGGAACAACCAGTGTTGTCGCGCCCGCCTCACAACACCCGCCTCGCCCGTCAGAGACAGGCGATATATCGAGCACACTTTTTAAAAACTCTTTCCTAGAAAAATCACTTCTTATTAATGTGAACAAAGTCTCCATGGGGGTAGACAATTTTTGGAATGCGTTAGAAGTAGAAACAGCGTGATACACATGCATGAACAACCGGTATGAACCTAGACAATCTTCTTAAGTAACTAACGCTTTGATAGAGGGGAGGGGAAAAGGGTAAGAAAAGGAAAGAAAATTATAGTCTGACAAAATATCAAGTGATTGAAATTAGAAGCTGTTCTCTATATACGGCAGGTAGGATAAATGGTTTGCGTGTATTCTGCTGACTTACAGTCAGTTATTTACGGTGGCACAACACAGTTTTCGCCCTATGGGGATTTCTATTTAAGTTTGAACTTCCAAGACTTACATGTAAACAGCTGTACACTTTCTTTGTCAATAATACCTTTATAGCTCCTACTTGTCAAACAGAAATTATACAAAATGTTAAAGATGAAAAAGAGTTTAAAAAGGTATATACAATGCCCAACAAATGTACAAACAACACAAACCTACAATATTTTCAATACAATATTATTCACGGTTTTCTACCAACAAACAGCTACTTAAAGAAAATAAATGTAAAAGAGTCTGACCTCTGTCCCTTTTGTCCAGAGAAGCAAACAATCACATTTGTGCATTGTAAAACTGTTAAATCTTTTTGGAAAGAGTTTACCACTTGGTGGAATGCTAAATTAACACAATCTCAAATATGTTTAGACGACAAAAATATTCTATATGGACACATGTCAAACTCTTTTTTGAACAAAGCCATGTTGACCGCTAAAAAAATATAAGTATTATATTTTTCAACACACTGCACGCAATGAGACATTTATATTAAAAGATATTCACCAACAGGGGTAAGCCACAGCACACCATGTATTTGTACGTATATATGTACGTTTTGTATGTAAATATTCGAAATATATGATTTAAAAAATACCTCGTGATGTGGACATGCCATTGTCTTGATTTTTTGAGTAGGACATAGCTAGTTAAATGATGTGGTTTGAAGCAAAATAGCTACCTTTTTAGCTTCTATGCTCATTTTGATGTTAGGAAGTGACTAGACGGGTAACTTTTGATGCTGTTGATTTATTCCTATAATTCTTTTAGATAGCGTCGGGTGGGAAAAAGAAGTTGAAGTTCGAAATTTGGCATTCTAGCGACTTTTAAACGTATTACAGCGGCACTTTTATCGTTGATTTTGCTTTTGTCGTCATGTTTATGTGCTTATTTGTCTGTTACTTTGTGTTATGTTTTGTGCAATGTGTTCACGATTAAATGTTGTTATCGATTAGCTAGCATTAAAACCAACGTACCATTCAACCGTATGAAAACACCATTTTCATGATGCAATTTTATTTATCAATTCAACTCAAGCAAAATTTGCACACTAGCTTCTTTATACAATGTGATACAAATAAAAAATGTCTGACATGTCAAGTTGGGGCTTTTCTGGTTGGCATAAAATTTCTGTTAACATGAGGAAAGGCTTGTACCATGTTTTTTGCAAGTATCAATTATTTACATTATTTGTCTCCTTAATATCTCAGCTCTTTCAAATATAAAAGATATGTACAATGTAATTCAAGACCACAGAACAGATTACTTTTCAAAAGTGATCCTAATCTGGAAGTATAGCGAGGTTAAGATCGTAAAGATAATTGTTCCTAAAACTATAAGTTTTCCTAAGCAAAAAGCCACCCTTTTGGCTTTGTTTTAATATGCCTTTGTCTCTCTTTAAACCGAAACGTTTCGAGAAGTGTCCTTTCAGATCCTCCCAAAGATGTTTCTTACGCTATTTAAAGGAGAACAAACCTTGGAACTCAATTCCTTCTTATTCTATATATACCTAAGGTCCTTTATGTCTTTCATCAGGATTAAACTGGAGTGTTTGAAGAAATTCATCTCTCAGTTCCTTCTGACGTTCCCTCCACCATGTGTACGCGCTAACGAACATTATACCCATCATCACCAAGGCAACGCCTGCCAAATGGAAACAATTTGGCACTTTCTGCAGAAAGAAGTAATCCAGCATCAGAGTGACTGGGATGGCATACATATGTACTGTAGTTGTGATGTACGCCTTTATATTTTTCAGGCCTGCAAGGAAGCATATGTTGCTCAGACTCCTGCTCAACCCCAGTCCTACCACGTATAACGCTGTACGCAATGACATTGTCCACACTGGAGTCTCTAATGCATATGTTATTCCTAGTAATATCACTGAACCTACCAAATTCATATACAGCAAAATTGTGACTATCGCCACCTCTAATGTACCTGTCAGGTACCGCATAAAGACCACATCAGGTGCTAAGGCAAACGACGCAGTTAAGGGAATTACGATTGACAAGACGAGTAGTTTGGTGGACATTCCATCTACCTGTGTGTTCCCCACCGCCACTAGAGCAACCCCTGTTACGCTAGTGAGAAGCCCAAAAATGTCCCCTAGAAACAGATATTCCCTCAAGAACACAAAACCGATACAGGCTACAAAGAAGGGCTTCAAACCTTGAATGAAACCAAACGCGATTCCAGGAACTGTGTAGATAAAGGAGAAAAAGTTGAAAAAATTAACACAGTTTGTAAAAATCGCAAATAGAAACAACATGATATTCTGGCGTCTATTTTCACCCGTTAATCTCGGCCGACAGATTGCTAAGATAGGAAGAAGTGTGAGAAGCTCGATCGCTCGCCGTAAGAAAAGCGTTTGGAAATTCGGAAGGCCTTCCTTGTCTATTAATGCTGTGAACTCCCCACCAAAAGAAGAAGCGATGGCTGACATGACGGTTAGCAAAATGCCTTTTGCTGCTTGGAACGAAGGCGACACCTCTTTATTTGCCTTTTTAACGTGTTCGCCTTCGTCAGTGTTAGCAGCAGATGACATTTCTTTTGTATTTGTGCTTGTATTTTCTTCTGATCCTCGCTGTGTTGCCAGATAGCGAGCTATTTATAAAGATTGGCGTCACACGTATTGCCAATGTTACTAAATAATACCCTTCAGGGAGCAACAAGTTCGCCACGATATCTGCAACCTCTATATGATGCACTCCCTCTCGAGGCTGCAAACTCGCTGATGCTCTCCCACAGGATGCTGTCCTCTCTCAGCAAGCTGCAACCTTGCTGGTGTCCTCTTTTAGGAAGCTGCAACCTCGCTGTTGTCCTCTTTCAGGAAGCTGACACTTCGCTGGAGCCCTCTTTCAGGAAACTGCAACCTTGCTGGTGCCCTCTCTCAGGAAGCTGCAACCTTGCTGGTGTCCTCTCTCAGGAAGCTGCAACCTCGCTGTTGTCCTCTTTCAGGAAGCTGACACTTCGCTGGAGCCCTCTTTCAGGAAGCTGCAACCTTGCTGGTGTCCTCTCTCAGGAAACTGAAACCTTGCTGGTGTCCTCTCTCAGGAAGCTGACACTTTGCTGGTTTCCGCTCTCAGGAAGCTGAAACTTTGCTGGTGTCTTCTTTTAGGAAGTTGAAACCTCTCTTGAGCAGTTGCATTCCCTTCATGTACCCTGCTATGCAAAATGTTGTTGTCTCCTGTTCTGAAAAAAATAGAAGAAAAATGAGCATATTGTGTATAGAAATCGACTTTTATTTAGTTTACAAAATGCAGCTGTACTGTCAAAACGTCCCAATTGTTCTAGGGGTAGTTATTTTGACCAGATTGTCTTTATTTAGAAGTTTATTTCAAAAGTTAGTTGAAAATAGTAGGATAGAATACGTGCTTATGTACAACAATAATGCTCGTATGAAACTTGTATCTTAACTCAATTCATGAGGAAACGCTAGGAATTGCCTTTCTTGCGACACGACTTTCATTCGGTAAATAATATGAAATTATTTATGCATCAGCAATGTTGAATATAAATAATTCGTCGACATGAAGTTTAAGAACATTTGACGAACATTTGAGTCCCTGATTTCTTGCTTTCATTACGGTGAATCGGTGACAACAAACAAAATACAGTAGCAAAATAGTCATAGATATTAAATGAATTGCTTACTTTGGTAGATTTTGCTTTACTTTAGAGCTTTGAGGAGTTCGTATTTTGACAAGTACATGTACCACCAAGGACGTTCAACACCCAATGACAGTGGGACATGCAGACAAATTTATGCACGCTGCTAGCTACCGCGTAAATACGAAGCTTTTGCCTCGGCTTGCATTAAAAAATGACTTTAAATTTGAGCAGACAATAAATGATATACGAGCGCCAAGTTTTTTACCGATAACATTTGTGGCGTTTACAAGTTCTGTTTTGTGGGATTAAGATTAAAGATTGTCGTCGGTAACAGAATGTATGTAGACGTAAACAAGGACTGACTCGGAAGTTGGAATGAAGAAAAATGGCGACGCGGGCTGTTGTGTAGACAAGGACTTCGGCGTGGGAAAAATCCAAACATACCCCAGCGGAAAAGTGAAAATATCAAGATCAATGTGGATCGACAACTTTACAAAAAAAGTACTCATGGCAAAAGGAAACACAGTGTTGAGGTACGCAATGTCTGACAAATTCCTATAGCAGTTAACTCACTGGAAAAAGATCTAAGAATACTGGTTGATAAGGATTTATATTTGAAGACCCATATTTGCATGACAGCAAACAAAGCAAACTGGTTGGCAGGACTATTATACACAATGTTTTACTTCATCGACCTAGAAGTGTTCTTCATATTTAGAGCCCTGGTGCTTCAAAAAACACCACTTGCAAATAAAACACACGTAATAGACAATTCAAATTCTACTATTGTATAGATACAATCGTTACACCCACACTTTTACAGTAACGGTTAACACCAATAAGCCTATTAGTACATGTGTATATTTGAGCTACTTACCAACAAGAGGGTGATCAGCGAAAATAGTGGGAAATGATGTCGTCTTGGAAAGACTGAAAAACCCAGTTTATTTAATTATTCAGAATTTACCCCAGTTAAACCGGTTAGCCTACGTGTCCTAAATTGTCTGCTTTCTCATGTGATTGAATGATTTTCTTTCGTCTTTGTTTTTTTTTTTGTAATTATGTAGCTCAGGGGATGCTCTGACTTGGTTGTCTTGTTCTGTGGGCATGCAATGCCCGATTATCAGTTATAGATTGAGTCTAACTGCTGATAAACATCTTAAGAACGGTACAGTAGTGGCCGGTATACGTGAGCACACCCTTTTACCAACGGAAATGTGATTTTTACGGTTCTCCTTTGATTTGAAGTCAATTCTTTTCTAACATCTGCCTTGTACATTTCCTAGACTGCCTAATGCTTGAGGCAGCAATTATGTCAACTAGCAATTAGAAATACTGGTAATCAGGAGATTAACATTTGTTCTGCATACACAGAATTCATTTGGGTGGTTGCAAGATACAAGATATCTTTGCAGGCTTTTTGCAGTTTTTAAAATAAACCAGTGTACAAAGTTTGTACCAGAAACCATGCTGGTTTAACGATCGTGTGAGATATGGTTTGGGGGAGGGACCGTAACTCTATGTGTTTGCCTTCGGAATATTCATTTTTTTCTGCAATTCTTTTCTGGGCGTGTCATACCAAGATACCTGTTGAGCACAGCCCTATTACGTCTAACGTACAAATATTCAATTTTTTTCGGGTGGAAAAAAATGAAGGTTAAGTTCGAATTTTAGCATTCTAACGACTTTTAAACGTATTGCAGCGCACTTTGTATCGTTGATTTTGCTTATTGTTGTTATCGACTTATTTATTATTTCAACCAACGTACCATTCAACCGTATAAGAAACGACATTGGTCACAATAGAAACACCATTTTCATGATACAGTTTTATTTATCAATTCAACAAAAATAATTTGCACACTGGGTTCTTTAAACAATGTGATACAAATAAAAATGTCTGACATGTCAAGTTGGAGCTTTTCTGGTTGGCATAAAATTTTTGTTAACATAAAGAAAGGCTTGTACCATGTTTTTGCAAGTATCAATTATTTACATTTTTTTCTCAATAATATCTCAGCTCTTTCAAATACAAAAGAAATGTATACGTACAATGCAATTCAAGACCACAGAACAGATTGCATGTACTTTTCAAAAGTAATCCTAATCTGTAAGTTCAGAGAGGTTAAGATCGTTGAGATAATTGGTTTCGTAAGTTTTCGTAAACAAAAAGCCACCCTTTTGGTTTTGTTTCAATATGCATTTGAAAGGCATATTAAAGCAAAGCCAAAAGAGTGGCTTTGAAAAAGAGCAAACCTTGGAACTCAATTATTTCTTTTTCTACATACCTAATGTCCGTCAGGTCTTTCATCAGGATTAAACTGGAGTGATTTAAGAAATTCATCTCTCAGTTCCTTCTGACGTTCCCTCCACCATGTGTACGCGCTAACAAACGTTATACCCATCATCACCAAGACAACGCCTGCCAAATGAAAGGAATTTGGTACATTCCTCAGAAAGAAGGAATCTAGGATCAGAGTGAATGGGATTGCAAACATATGTACTGTAGTTGTGATGTACGCCTTTATATTTTTCAGGCCTGCAAGGAAGCATATGTTGCTCAGACTCCTGCTCAACCCCAGTCCTACCACGTATAACGCTGTACGCAATGACATTGTCCACACTGGTGTCTCTAATGCATATGTTATTCCTAGTAATATCACTGAACCTACCAAATTCATATACAGCAAAATTGTGACTATCGCCACCTCTAATGTACCTGTCAGGTACCGCATAAAGACCACATCAGGTGCTAAGGCAAACGACGCAGTTATCGGAATTACGATTGACAAGACGAGTAGTTTGGTGGACATTCCATCTACCTGTGTGTTCCCCACCGCCACTAGAGCAACCCCTGTTACGCTAGTGAGAAGCCCAAAAATGTCCCCTAGAAACAGAGATTCCTTCAAGAACACAAAACCGATGCCGGCTACAAAGAAAGGCTTCAAACCTTGAATGAAACCAAACGCGATTCCAGGAACTGCGTAGATAAAGGAGAAAAAGTTGAAAAAATTAACACAGTTTGTAAAAATCGCAAATAGAAACAACATGATATTCTGGCGTCTATTTTCACCCGTTAATCTCGGCCGACAGATTGCTAAGATAGGAATAAGTGTGAGAAGCTCAATCGCTCGCCGTAAGAAAAGCGTTTGGAAATTCGGAAGGCCTTCCTTGTCTATTAATGCTGTGAACTCCCCACCAAAAGAAGAAGCGATGGCTGACATGACGGTTAGCAAAATGCCTTTTGCTGCTTGGAACGAAGGCGACACCTCTTTATTTGCCCTTTTAACGTGTTCGCCTTCGTCAGTGTTAGCAGCAGATGACATTTCTCTTGTATTTGTGCTTGTATTTTCTTCTGATCCTCGCTGTGTTGCCAGATAGCGCGCTATTTATAAAGATTGGCGTCACACGTATTGCCAGTGTTACTAAATAATACCGTTTAGGAAGCAACAAGTTCGCCACGATGTCTGCAACCTCTATATGATTCACTCCCTCACGAAACTGCAATCGCTGGTGTCCTCTCTCAGGAAGCTGCAACCTCGCTGGTGTCCTCTCTCAGGAAGCTGCAACCTCGCTGGTGTCCTCTCTCAGGAAGCTGCAACCTTGCTGGTGTCCTCTCTCAGGAAGCTGACACTTTGCTGGTGTTCTCTCTCAGGAAGCTGACACTTCGCTGGTGTCTTCTTTCAGGAAGCTGCAACCTCGCTCTTCACGGTCCTCTCTCAGGAAACTGCAACCTAGCTTATGTCTTCTCTCTGGAAGCTGTTACCTCGCTAAAGCCCTCTCACGGTAAACGGCAATATGACTTCGCTGATAATCTCAGAAAGTCTCAACCTCTCTTGAACAGTTGCATTCCATTAATGTACACTGCTATTGTTGTCTCCTGTTCTGAAAAAAAAGAAAAGAAAAATGATCCTATCTGTGTATATCTCGAATTTTAATGATGTCACATTGTACAGGCCAGTAAGTAAGTGTAGTAAGTGCGGATTACTAAAAAATCCCAGCCAACCATCCCAGCATATCATACTAGTAACTTGTCGCCGATCACGACCACATTTTGTGCGGAAGAAAGCCACTAAAATCAGAAGATAATGCTTCTGTACCGAGCAGATAGAGCTCCGGTTATTTTCTAGGACATGATACCCTGGGCTTTGTCGTAAAACTGAGCCAAAACTGTGGCAGACGAAAAGCCGGAGACATTTCCAACCGATGGCGCGTTGCAGGCGGAGGTCATTCGGGGTAAACGGAAGATCTCGTTTTTTTACGGGGAAAAGTTTGTCGACATGTCATATTTTACCTGATTCCTTGCTTTCATTACGGTAAATCGGCGACAACAAAAGAAATATATTAGCAAAATAGTCATAGATATTAAATGAATTGCTTACTTTGGTAGATTTTGCTTTGCTTCAGAGCTTTGAGGAGTTTGACAAGTACAAGTACCACCCAATGACAATGGACATGCAGACAAATTTCTGCACGCTGCTAGCTACCGCGTAAATACGAAGCTTTTGCCTCGGTTTACATTAAAAAATAACTTTGAACAGACAATAAATGATATCCGAACGCCAATTTTTGCCGACAGCATTTGTGGCGTTTACAAGCTCCGTTTTGTGGGATTAAGATCAAAGATTGTCGTCAGTAACTGAATGTAAGCTTGGACTGACTCGGAAGTTGGAACGAAGAAAAATGGCGACGCGGGCTGCTGTGCAGACAATGACTTCGGCGTGGGAAAACCCAAACATACCCCAGCGGAAAAGTTAACATAATGGTATAGAGGACTTAAAAAATCATGTTCTGCATACGAAGAAGAGATATGTCCGACACACTGGCGACGAAGAGATAAACATTTGCTGAGTTTAGGTAGACCATTCTAAATACTGCTATGCACGCTCGTCCCCAGCGCCCGTGGAGAAGCCATAGGTTATAGATCGTGGCTTAGCCCAGGCTATGGAAAATAAACTTTCTTTAATGCAAATCTGTCGTTTTTGTTTTCTTTGCGCTTTCTAAAGGGTTATGATAACCTACTCTACTCTGGCGGTATTGTCGTGCGCGCTCGCTAGTACGTAACGTTACACGGCGGCCATCTGAATACATGTACACGTACACTGCATTCTTTCTACTATCGGGACCTAAAACAAGACGCAAGATTCCTATTTTGGGGTATAAAATGCTGTCACAATGGTAATATATACCAAATGAAACGGACCTTTACAAAGTACCTCATTTGGTGACGCTATGAGGGTGTACCGTTATCCCTCTACATTTGCCCAGAAGGGAGTTAGTCGCGGAAGGAACTTAGCCACGGAGGGAGTTTTGGCATTCTCCGCCCGCGCCACAAACTCTCGTCCCCAGGACAGTTCACTCTGCTACCCAGCATGCTTTGCGCAAAATGCGTTCTCGGCCCCAGGACACAAATACACGCTAATGCTTCCGCACTGTGTTGCTCTGGGGACCCCGCCGCGCGCCCAGATGTGGCTTTAATTATAGCGCGCTAGCGGACGCTGCGGAGGAGCGTGACTGCTATGGGTAACGATTGGGTAACATAACATAATTGATCCAACTCCTTGATTGATCCAAGCATGACATTGTACGATGATCCTAGGAGGCATAATGCAATGTAAGAAAACATTATTTGTGTATCTTTTGGAAGAAGGAAAATTTAGTACAGGGAGAATCATAGTTGTAGTTAAATGCTAACGCTTCAGTTCAGACACTGCCCATACAATTTAAAATGGAAACAACAGGGCAATCTGCTTCTCCCATGTGAATACACGAAACTAAAGCCCCCTCCCAAAATCCATACCTTGCATGTAGTCTTACAGGTTTTGAGCAGCATCAGTAGAGGATTTTTAACTCATGTCTCTTATTCTATTAAGTATATTTCAGTTGTTTCCTAGCATCAATGTGGATCGACAACTTAAAAAAAGTACTCATGGCAAAAGGGAACACAGTGTAAGGGTATACAATGTCTGACAAATTCCTTTAGCACTGAGCAGTTACCTCACTGAAAAAAGATCTAAGAATACTGGTTGATAAGGATTTATATTTTAAGACCCATATTTATATGATAGCAAACAAAGCAAACTGGTCGTCAGGACTATTGTTCACAATGTTTTACTTCATCGACCTAGAATTGTTCTTCTCGTTATTAAGAGCCCTGGTTCTTCAAAAAACACCACATGCAAGTATAACACACGTAATAGACAATTCAAACTCTACTATTGTATAGATACAATCGTTACGGCCACACTTTTACGGTGACATCCATAAGTCTAAGTACATGTGTATATTTGAGCTACTTACCAACCAGAGGGTGATCAGCGAAAAGAGTGGGAAATGCTGTCGTCTTGAATAGACTAAAAAAAAACCAGTTTACTTAATTATTCAGAATTTAACCCCAGTTAAACCAGTTATTCTACGTGTCTTTAGGTGTCTACTTTCGCGTATGATTGGATGGTTTTCTTTCGTCATTGTGTTTTGTAATTATGTTATAAATCAAGTCTAACTGCTGATAAACAGCTTTAGAACGGAGATGTGATTTTATACGGTTCTCGTTTGATTTGAAGTCAATTCTTTTCTAACATCTGCCTTGTACATTTCCTAGACTTCATAATGCTTGAGGCAGCAATTAATATTATGTCAACTAGCAATTAGAGATACTAGTAATTAGGAGGTTAACAGTCGGGGATGTAGCCTGTCGGGGATGTAGCCCGTCGGGGATGTAGCCCCGGCCGGCTCCGGCCTGGCTCTGGGGTTTGCCGGGCACTGGCTGTCGTGGTTAGAATTAAAAATTGCCTTAACACTGCCCTGCAGGGGTCCCGGGGTCATTTCAGGGCAAGGGTCAACCACATGTCCATGCCTGCATGTTTCCTATGTTATTATCGGGATTATCTCAGAAAATAGTCAAAAGTCATATATCTGAGTAAAATACACTGGTAGGGCATTCCATGTAGACCAAAATGAAAAATAAAAAACATGCTATGCTGCGGGAGTATGTGTGAATTCTGCCTGAACGTTGAGAAGTGGCCCCTGACCTCTCTGGACTGCTGATGACCGCATATTAATCTATATCTGCTTTCGCGAATCAGTAGTGGCAAGATATTGGACCCAGTAGAGCATGGGGCATTTCAGAACCTAACAAAAATCTAACAGGCTAGCAAAAAGGGATTAGGTGGATCAGGGGTAACAACCTACACAAATTGAAGGAGAGTTAACATCCTATAGAAAGACAATCTAGGTGGATCATTAAGAGTAAGTAATCACCTGGGGAATTAATCAGACCGCTGTAGAAGGGTATGCTTTCTATCTCCCTTGATCATAAAATCAATTCAGGTGAATATTGACCTTATCTCAAGTAAAATGCAAAATATCGTAATTGATCATAGCACTAGGCTTTCCCTTGGGAATTGAAAAAATGTTAACTACACGAAGGGGTGTGGCCATCTCAATCACACAACATAAGGGGTGAGGCCATGGTATCATGGCCCTGCAACTCCTACCGCAGGTGTCTGACATCTAATAACATCACCTAATTTGATAAGGTTTAAAACAGTCCTCTCCCTATATAGCTAGCTGGTGTTGGCTTGGCTCACTGTTGTTAGGTTTTGAAATGCACCATGGTTTCACTTTGCTATGTCCAATTTCTTGCCATATATACGGCCGTCTAACATATAACACCATGGTCCATTAAGCACACCACATGTGGTTATCTACATGTGGTTATCTCAGGGATCCTTGCACTGTTAGCTTCTCTGTTAGATTTCTAACAACTGAAACCTAACAGCCTGATGATGCAGCCTGAAACACTGTGAAAAACACGGCACACATTCTGAACGGCCGTCTAACATATAACACTATTAAGCACACCACATGTGGTTATCTACATGTGGTTATCTCAGGGATCCTTGCACTGTTAGCTTCTCTGTTAGATTTCTAAACCTAACAGCCTGATGATGCAGCCTGAAACACTGTGAAAAACACGGCACACATTCTGAACGGCCGTCTAACATATAACACCATGGTCCATTAGGCACACCACATGTGGTTATCTGCATGTGGTTATCTCAGGGATCCTTGCACTGTTAGCTTCTCTGTTAACAACTGAAACCTAACAGCCTGATGATGCAGCCTGAAACACTGTGAAAAACACGGCACACATTCTGAACGGCCGTCTAACATATAACACCATGGTCCATTAAGCACACCACATGTGGTTATCTACATGTGGTTATCTCATGCATCCTGCCTCTAATTAAGATCAGCACTGCATGGCTACCCAGGCATTCCAATCTCCAAGCAGAGGTTGGTGGGGAAGAAAAGTGATAGGAAACACGGAAAAAACATCAATATTTTCGTAATTAGAGCCTGAACGAAAATGAAATTTAGCATGCTAGTAGATTGGTATATAACACACCGAACCTTGGTCTTTTTGGCCAACATAGACGTCAAAAATGATTTATTGGCAAACAAATGGGTGCAAAAAGGTTGCATTTTTAGGCCAAAAATCGAACCTTAAAATTAAAGTTTGTTTCAAATTTTTAGAAGAACCTTTGAATTCAGAGTTCGAATTCAGAGTTCGATGACCGCGGGTCAATGATCAAAGCTGATCAACACGTTCTATCGACAATGTCCTTGGTGTATGTAACTTCTTGCATGATTTGGCACTGCCGAGCAGGTGTTTCAGTTACCTCCATAGCATGCCAAAAACTGGGGGTTTGGGGGGTCTTCAGGGTCTTTGGGAGCTTTTATGTGGTATTTTCTGATTGCATATAGACAACATAGCCGGCCTGGTTGAATTACCCCTGTTTTTTAAACTGGACTTATCAGAAAACAGCCCAAGACCACCCAACCCCCGGTTCTATAAGCCTGCTACGGACGCTATGGTTTCAGATCAAAATTAAAAATGAACTATCCTGGATGCCAAAACTAGTAGCAGTAATTTACACCAGCGGGCGAAGGGCTCTTGCGGCCCGGAAAACGAGTTCTTGATTCCAGGGTAAAAATGAACTAGCTCCTGATTTGATAGAATATCCGGACTTAGGCTTGTTGTTGTTAAAACAAACAGAATTTTGACGGTCACTTTTTTTGTTTATCCGTAACTATTTGTCGACGTTGTAATCTAATCCTGGAGTGAGTGTGTGTAGGGGGGTCTTTACAGTAGAGTTGTTTACGTATCAGGACACTGTCTGATACATGCTGTCGTTTTGTCAGTTTTAATCTTTTTCTTGATAATGTGATAAGTATGGTTACCTATACAGAATTTTTGACAGCTATTTCATGGCTAAGAAAATATTGTGGGGGGCTTCAATGTAGGTGAAGAAATATGTGAACACTGTTTTCACTGTTTCACTAAATTTATGCCGTGATGAGGCGTCATTTTCAATCATTTATGTCCTCCGAGCTTGTGAACTA